GGACTAAAATTGTAGATTTTATAAAATTGAGGAACTAAAATTGTGGAATTAAAAATTGGAAGACCAAAGTTGAAAATTTAATATTATAGAGGGAATAAAATAGCAATTTAGTCAAGGTAATATTATATCAATTTTAAAAACTAAAAGTACAAATTGAACATTAATTTGCTGAAATTTCTTCCTTAATTGATGAGAGACTGCTTCATGAAGAGTCATGAATCAAAAGTCATGAACGAAAAGTCGTGAATAAAGAGTTATGAATGAATAAGAGTTGGGAATGAAGAATCATGAATGAAGGGTCATTTCCTCCCCTATATATAGGGAGACTTGTGAAAAGTGGTGAAGTTGTTGGTTCTAATCAATTATGGAGTCCTCTTTGAGAGAAAGAGAGAAGTAGAGTGAGAAAGCTTGTATTCCTCTTTAAGAGAAAGAAAGAGTTGTTTTTGGCACACTTAGTGAGAATTGAGAGATAGTCATCTGAAAGAGGTGAAATTTTTTGAGTGGTCCTCTTGAGAGAAAGACTATTTGTAATCCTACTTTCTTAGCAAAGATCTTTTGCAAGACTAACTCATGTGATTTTTTCTTGCTCACATTGGGAAGGTTTTCCATGTAAAAATTATGGTGTTATTTTTGTACTCCTTATTCTTATTTTAACTTTCACATAGTGCTTATTTTGCATTCACAAAGGTGGGAACTAGATTTGTTAATTCCTAACAGTGGTATCAGAGTTTGCATGGTTAGGGGAGCTTTTAGCTTGTGTAACTCAAGATGAAGGGAACAATCACTCATGTTGCTGATATGTTCAAGCTAATTATAGTTAATTACTCCTATTGGAAGTCAATGATGGAAGATATATTGCAAGGATTTGTATAAGTCAATCACAAAACAAAGCAAGCTAGATGAAAAGACATATAAATATTTGGAATTTCTAAATTGTAAAGTTGTTGCTATAATTCATAAATATATTGGTTGAAGTTTGTTCAAGCATGTATCAACTTATACCAATGTGTATGAGTTATGGACAAAGCTTGAATCCATGATTCAAAAACAAATTTAGGAACAAGGTCGAACTTGTCAAGAGATTGGTGAGGTTAGAGTACTCGAAGGTAAGAACATGATTTAACAATTAAACACTTTTAAAGGACTTGTGAATCAATTGACGAAAATAGATATGAAAGTTGATGATGACTTACAAACTTGTTTACTCCTTGATTCTTTGTATGAGATTTGGGATACATTAGCTATCACTTTTGACAATTTTGCTTCAAGTGGACAACGTAGCATGATTGTTGTTTGTTAAATGAAGAGTCAAGACAAAGAGAAAGACACTCAAGTAGTTACTTTGAAGCCAACATTGTTGAGAGTAGAGGGGTGAATGAGTAAAAAGGAGACCATGGGAAATCATGAGGAAGATCCAAGTCTTGCACCAAAACCCAACTTGCTTTTACTATAGCAAAGATGGTCACAAGAAGTCAAGATGTAGATTTTTGAAGAGAGATCAAAAAGTTGGAATAGTCCATCCAGATAAGATGGAACCCAAGAAAATGGAAGAAGAAACCACTATGACAGTGGTCTCAAACAATGAGAACATTTTTCTTATTGGTGAGGAAAATTATTTAAATGTTGCAATTGATGATTGCGTTTGGATAGTTAATTTTGGTATATCCTTTTACGTCACATTGCATGAAGAAATCTTCTCATCATATCAAAGGGGAGACTTTGGTATAGTGAAGATGAACAATCATGTTACACGTAAACTTTGGTGGGTCTCATACCCTATTTAATGCTTCTATCTCTATTCTCTCTTTCTCTCTCTCTCTCTCAATTTTGTAATTTTTAATAAATTTTGGCCAATAAAAGTATGTGTGTTAAGAGGAGTGTGTTACAAAATGTGTTGCTAGCACTCCTCAAACATATATATTAGTGAACTTTAAGAATAGGAGTTTAAATCTCATTTTATTGAAGTTTCCAAGGGTATAAATTTAAATTAAAAAATTTTAGAAAACTTTTGAGCAAAAAAACATAATCACATTGAATTAGACATTATGTAAAAATCACATAAGGATTTTAGGTTTACCTTTGTAACATGTTTAACAAAAATTTATGTTTAAATCAAAGACCTTCACAAGGTTTATTATTGATCACCAAACACTGAAGAAGTAGATGCATCTACTTAATCCAAACAAGCATTACTGGAGTAGGATTATGGTGATAACCAATAGTTGATAGATATTAAGGTTTTTGTGTTATAACACAAAACCTAATCTACTCGCTAGTAGTCACAAGAGTTAGGACATGTTTTTTTATAAATTGTTGCAACTTCATCTTAATACTTTATTGAGTTTATGCACTACAAGTCTAAAACCAATTAATATAATTCAATTTAGTCTTTTATCAATTAATTAAATCTCATTTAATTAATTAACTATTAAATTAATTCATATTTATGTAAAAGAAAATATATTTAATTTAATCATTTATTCTAAATATACTTACTCTATGTGTGTAACTTTATAAATTTTTATTTAATTGATAATGATATTAAATATTATAACTATTGTAAAATGAGTATTCAATATTATGATTATTGTTAATTCAATGAAATTTTAAACACAACAGAGATGAAATACGAATTCTTTATTGAAAAGATTTTCTTTAAAATATTTAAGTGTAAAATATCTAACCACCTCATTATATCGTCAATCAATTAAATTTAGTGTTGAACATATATGATGTGACACTTAAATTATATCAATTATTCAAACTTTAGAATATAATACGTGTGCTTGTTGAGCCTGCAGTTCTGGCGAGAATGGTAAGCTTTTATGCAAGTTAGGGAAGTGAGTTCATAGAAACTCATGCAAATTGACCCGATCACTAAATAACACGAAACCAAACCATAATAACACATAAAAACTAACCTGAATAAAAAAATCTAAAAGGCATTAATGGTCACAATCCATTGAATAAAGAAGTTGCTTTGGTTGTCAACCAACCAAAAAGCTTGTTATTTAAAATGTTTTTGTAATTTTTTTTACCAAATTTAAGAAAAACATAATTTTCACTCCATAGAAAAAGACACTTTTAAGAGTTCCTCAGCTCATGGAAAGAGTTGTCCAAAATAGTCAAATACAATAGATGATGGTGGGATTTCATATCAGCAAAGAGACTTGATTTCTTGTGCCAATTGGTAATTTTATCAAATGAAGGTTTTGGTCATTTCAAATTACTTCAATTGGTCAATAATGTCAATTATGGACAGTGGAGATAATCAATGTTCTCTGTCTCTCTATCTTAAAATACTGATCCTACACTTTATTTTTTAAGTGTGTAGATAAAAATTTAAAAAAAAAAAAACCCTAGAAAAAAGTAAAGAAAAAACAAGTCATAAATATGATATATAACTAATGAGAAATAAAAGAAATAAGAAAAAGATTAAAATAAAACTAGGATCGAAGAAAAATAAATGCGTAATAATAATTATCTATGAACTTCTATGTATAATACACACATTTATGCGAAATGTTACTGTGGATCCACGTACATTTTAAATAAATACTTTTAGTAAGTTATCTATTAGTGTAATTTAAGAAAAACAAGTATAACTTCAAAAATTTCCTTTTAAAACATAAGTAGAGATACATAAGCATTAGCAAATTCTAAAAACAAAAAAAGAAATTATTAACATGCGTAATGCGTTTACTTTATGTTTGAAAAAGGTATTTTAAAAATTAAACTTTATATATAAATATAAATATATATATATATATATATATATATAATAATTTGCTAAAATACTTCTGAAAAAGCAAAAAAATCGGCCAATGAACCTTATTCCAGCATATCTTTATCAATCCACATCTTCCACACACATTGACGCAGTCCATCAAATCATTTTTTACGTTTTCCACTCACAAAAAAAATAAAAAATAAATAAATAAATAAAAATAACAGAAGAAGTAAAATCAAATCACACATTGTGCAAATAAGACACCAAAATTCCTTAACATACATATTAACAGCATGTTTGGGAAGGTAATTTAGCATGGAATGGTGAAAAAGATGAGATTACCATATAATTTAAAAAGAAATGTGTACTTGGAGAAAAGAATTTAAGTGCATATGCAAGAATGTTGTGATTAGACTCATGTAAATTTAATTTCATTCTCTTGTGACTAGATTTGTATAAAAAAATTTACACACAAAAAAAAAATGTTTAGATGCAACTATCTACATCATTATTTACGAAGATGGTAAACACCCATAATGCATTATGGTTTCAAAACAAAAAACTCATAATCGATTATGGAGTAATATACATTAATTCAATTTAAATTATATACATATATATACACACCTTAAAATTACAATATAATTTATTCTAAATTAAATATTTGTATAATTTTAAAAATAAATATAAATTATATAGAATTTATTATATCATTTATAATTATTTATTTTTGAATAAATAATTTTAAATATAAATAAATAATTATTATTATATATAAATGTGTCAATTTAAAAAAAAAATGTTTCAAGAGTATAATCAATTATGTTAAGTTACATAATGAAACAAACATATATATTTGAAAAAAGTTAGTAAAAGATAAAAATGTAATTATCTAAATAATTTAATTTACATAAAAATTTAATGGTATAAAATTTCATTTTCTTTATTTCTCACTTAATTCAACTCAATTGAACACTTACAAATTTCACTCTATTTCATTCTATTTCTTATGAAATCAATTTTCAACTATTCCCTTTCACTCCCTTAAATTTGTCCCCCTCCTCCCAAACAAAGGATAAGTATATGAAGATAATTGCTATTTATTGCAAAGAGTAAGCAATTCACTTATTATCAGCAGAAACAAATTTATATACTAGATAAACCCAGAAAAAGAAACTGAGACACAAAATATATATTGATACAGTATATTCAAACACAACTTGATGTTTATAAAAAATTATGTGCTGATTTAAGCATAAGGGAGCAAATGGTTTAGATTTTAAAACTAATGTATATAGACAAGGCTTTTTCATTAATGCTACATAATAACAGTTGACAAGGTTGATAATAAAAGCAAGTGCTGGACAAGACATGGTGATCATAAGTACCCTATTGTATAGATTAAACCATCACTATAATACTAAAGAGGATAAAGCCAAATAAGTGTTCCCTTATCAAGAATATCCCACCACCACCATACTATAAAGTGCGAACATGCTTTACAGATATAAATATATATACTGTCTCAATGATACACCAACCAAAATCCATGTATGGCATGAATGCAGGTATTTAAGATGACTGTTGAGAACCATCAAATCCTACACTATCAAGTAATGAAACAACTAATTCAATATGGGGTCTCACCTTTGGATCTTCATCTACACATTTAAAAGCAATAGCTAGTACCTCTAAGATCTGTTTCTGATTATCCTTGTGCCAAATAACTGGATCAAAAATTTCTTGCTCCCTATTCTCAGATTTCATCTGAAACACCCAAGACACTATATTCCTGCTACGTTGCCCGATGACGACTTCTACAGGCCTTCGACCAGTAAGAAGCTCAAAAAGAACAATACCAAAGCTATAAATATCACCCTTAAAAGTTGCTTTCAGTGCCTGGCTATATTCTGGAGGAATATATCCTAAGGTTCCTACTAAATCTGTTGAAACATGGGTATCATAGGGTTGAAGTAGCCTTGAGAGACCAAAGTCAGCCAAATAAGCTTCAAATTTATCATCCAAAAGTATGTTGCTAGATTTAATATCTCGGTGCACGATGTGTGGTTTACACTCCTTGTGCAAATAAGCCAATCCATGAGCTGAACCTTTGGCAATCTTGAGTCTTGCATCCCATTTTAGAGCTGAATTTCCATTCTCACTCTCATGCAGCCAATAATCAAGACTTCCATTCTCCAAGTAGGAGTAAATTAACAACCTGTCATTAACATGCTGACAATAACCTTTGAGTGAAACAAGGTTCTTATGCTGAGCTCTTGAGAGGGCCTCTACTTCAGCTTGGAATTCGCGTTCCACCTGACCACAATACCCAGAAAGTTTCTTGATAGCTACCTTCATGCCATTTGGAAGATTCCCCCTGTAGACAAGACCAAACCCACCACAACCAATTATATTTTCTTGGCTAAAATTGCTAGTGGATTTTAACAAATCTTCAACTGTGAGATCCTTGCAATCTGAATTCTGAAAAAGCACCACTTTTGAAGAAACAAGCACTTCCGGCGTACTGTTTGGCCAGCTAAGCTCCTCATCAAAGTTATCAACTAGCTTATCCTCATCATCCCTCTTTGACATTCTTAGTAGAATAACTGCAAGAAGCAGTGCAAGGCCTACTCCTAAACCAATTGTTAAGCCAAGGACACTGCTTTTACCCAATTTTCCCACAGAATGGGTAGCAAAGCCCACATTGTTTTCACTGTTACAAGATCGATATGTTTCCCCACAAAGCCCCAGGTTTCCCTCAAAACTTGAATTTGGAAAACTTGAAAATTGTCCCCCACTTGGAATTGGTCCCTGTAAGTGGTTATACGCTACACTGAACTTAGACAAAAATGTGAGGTTGGTAAATGATGGGGGAATACATCCAATGAGACTATTGTTAGATAAATCTAATATTTCCAAATTCTTCATCTTTGAAATGGAGCTAGGAATGGTGCCAGTGATGTTGTTCCTGCTTAAATCTAAGATATGAAGTTCTTTTAAACGACCAATTTCAGGCCATATTCTTCCACTTAATCTGTTATTACTCAAGTATATTGAAGGAGGGAAACTTGAGGCATGGTTATATTGCAGCCCATTAGCACTCTTGTTTCTCTTGACATAAAGAGGAATAGCAGCAACTGCAAAGAGACTTGATATGTGATAATTTGGGGATATGAGGCCCTTCATCTCTGTCAAACCTTTTGGTATTTCTCCTGTAAGAGAATTATTTGACAAATCCAAGTAGAATAAATTGTCCATCGAACCAATCCAAGAAGGGACACCACCTTCCAAATGATTCCATGACAAATCAAGAACTTCCAATTTCGTGCAATTCAATAGCCAAGCAGGAATGTGACCTT